GAACAGTAGTGCATGTTTGTTATCCTGTTCTGGAGGTTGGAGTCCAGGCCTAACTTGGGGTCTCACAGGTACAGTGGCCTGAGAGTTTGACGTGAGGGCTCACTTCCTAGCGCCCTCATGTGGTTGTTGACTGAATTGTTCTTTCCAGGCTTCCCTCAGTTCATCTTGGCTTTTGGCTGGAGGGCCATCCTTCGTCCCTTGCCACGTGAAATCCCAGAGCATTTCACAGCTTGCTACTTGGCTCCATCAGAGCAAGAAAGGGAGACAGAAGAGGGACCACAAGTGAGAGGGTTACAAGGAGTGGTTTCAACATGCCGTACTCATAGGGATGGCACTGGATGGGAACACCAGGGGCAGTGGTTACTAATTCGAAGTTTGCCACGTCCAACTGCCTTTCCCTGAGCATGGGCTAGCTGGTATCAGGAGGGTGCGCTGTTGATTTCCTTGGTTGCAGAGGAACTGTGGAGAAAGAAGAAGCATCTGCAATGCCCCAGGCAATATGGCGGAAGTCTCTGAGCTCAGGTGCTAATACTTGGTCAGTTGCTCATTTACCTCTGAGTCCTCTCCTGCCTCCCTCCCTCCGTAGCTCACCCACCCTTCCACCAGGATGGTGGTGGTAGCAATTAGGATAGACTGGGTAGTATGAGCATTTCTTTCTAAGGACTCTGGAGGCTGGAGGGCCCCACAGATCTGAGTGCATGGTTGGCTTGGGCTCAGGACTTGGGACAGGCCTCCTCCTGGCTTTGTCCTCACTTGGATAGAGAGATTTTTGTCTCTGTTTACAGGGACCTTGATGACATTGTGGGCTCCACCCTCATGACCGTATAACCTTAGCTGCAGCTCTGAGGCTTCCCTCCAGATCCCACTGGGGATTAAGGCTTTACCATGAATTTAGGAGGGGACGCAAACACTCCTTCCATAGCAGATGGCGTGTTGGCACTCCTGTCTCCTCCTGCCTCCCGCCCCCACCCTCACCCTCACCCTCGTATCCAGCCCTTGCTGAAGGTTGCTATTCTTTCCTCTCCTCTGTTCTCTAGTTGTTTTCCTGGAACTCCACTCTGCCTGTTGGGTTTTTTTTTTAGGTCTTATTTTTGAAAACTGTTCTCTTTTTGAATCTTACATCACTGCGACTCTGCTCTAAGTTCCTTGAGCCTTTTCCTTCTGGAACACACAGATAGTTTGAGCAGAACCAGTGTTGTCACGGAGAGTACAGGGTTCTGAGGTAAAAGTGTCTTCTGTTCGCTTAGAAGAATGGTTCTCCCCCTTCCTGCTGCTGTGACCCTTTAATACCTCATGCGGTGCTGACCCCAACCATAAAATTATTGTTGTTGCTACTTCATAACTGTAATTTTGCTACTGTTATGAATTGTGATGTAAATATCTGTGTTTTCCCATGATCTTAGGTGACCCCTGTGGAAGGGTTGATCAACCCCAAAGGGGTCATGACCCACACGTTGAACTTTACAAAAGGCCCAGAATTTTTCAGATATTCATAAAGTGCAGAGGTAGTTAAATACTCAGACATACCACACAGATTTAGGGCATTGGTATTTTATTTTATTATTATTTTGCCTCACTGTGAAGGAAGACATTTAGATATTAACAATGAATCTATCCACGATTCATTTACCCCTCAGACCTGGTAGGCCGCTGGGGTCTGTCTGCTGTTGTAAACTTGGATACAATGGGTGTTGCCTTGTGTGTATGAGGAGGGATTTTTGTAGCTGTAGATGTCTTGAAAGCACACTTCTGGGTGACTGCTAAACCAAACGATAAGGGAAGCCACTGCTTTATTACGTTATCAGTTAAATGCTGAAGACAGTTTAACAGCAAACACAAAGCGTTTAGTAAACGGAAAAGGTCTTTGGGACGTAGTTGGGAAATTGTTACCTCACAGTACAGCCTTTTGAGTTTACTATTAGTGTGGCGTGCGGCTCACTGAAGCAGCGTCTCTGCGGATATAAGGCCAGTTGATGGAACACTGGGATCAGAAACACAAACTGTTTTCATGTGGTACCTTAAAAAATTCATGATATTCTACTTTTCTTTGGTAATATTTTTCTTACTGTTGATGGGCATTTAGCTAAACTCTTATGTGTTATTCTTTGTGGCATGTTAATCTTTAAACAAGGATTTTCTTAAGCTTTTTCTAAAATGGGAAGCTTTTGAACACTCACGTGTAAACATTATTGGTGACTCCTTGTAAGTATCACCCAGCTTCAACATAATTCACTTTCTTCTTTAGATTTTAAAAGTTGTATTTATTATTTGTGTGTGTGCGTGTGTGTATGTGTGTGTGCATGTTTGTGTGCACCAGAAGGCCAGCTTTCAACAGGTCAGAGAAACCGAGAGGAGGCGTGGCATCGGCACAGCTGCATACATACACAGGAGACGTTTTTCTGAGGGCAAAAACTGAATTCTTCGTTTTATTTTTCTTTCTGTTGCTTGTTCTTACTCTCCTTTTTCTGTTCTGTTCTTCTACCCTGATGTTTTCCTCTTCCTCCCTCACCTTTCATTATTTTTCCTTCTTTCTTTTTCTTCCTTCCTCCATTTCTTCCCAGTTATTCTCCTTCTATATCTTTCCTGCAGTTTTCCTTCTATTATATCTCTTATTTCTCTCTTATCCCTTTTATACCTCCTAAGACAAAAACTTCTATGCAAGAAAGGATTACCTCACAACCACAAGTTACATATTTTCCAAAAACAAAATCTTTTCACAGGAAGAAATCACATTACGATCACAAGTTACATGTTTTCCTTTTAAATCCATAGTCATTAAACATTTCTCTTCACCCAAGAGCAATGATTCTATAATTGATTAACAAGTTTTAAACAAGCTAAATGTATTTCAGCCCGTTCTTTTTGCACTGGTGGGTAGCTGTCTGCAGTTTCAGCGTAGCAGATTTGTGTCCTGCTTCTGCTCTGCCAAACCTTTAAACAAGTGGTCTAGCTAACCATCTATTTTTCTTTACAAACAATAGGGTCATTTAATTTTCTTGTACAACTTTGTTTTTCAAGGTGCGTACCGGGACCTATGATTAATTCTGTAAATTACATGACCGAGGAACTCAGGCCTAACCTCAGGTGTAGGGGCGTAATTGCTTTCTTTAATCATCGGCCTGGTTTCCCACAGGCAGAATTCATGGGTCTATAATACATGAAACTTCCTTGTTCTTATTTTCCATCTTCTGCAGATCTCACAGGGGAAGGTGACTTCTACCTAATTTTACCCTTTTTGTACCTCTTATTGGAACAACTTTTAGAATAACCTAAAGCGTTTCCCTGGTCATCTTTACTGTCTTAAACACCTTTATCTTTTAGCCTGACCCAGAAAGTCCAGTTAAATCACAGTTCTAACTAAGCACCATTGTTCCTAAAACTTGTCTGCATTATGATCTGTAGGGTGCCCAGGGCGGAGTGGAATTTTCCTATGAAACAATCACACTATACTACCTACAGTGGGATCCTGGCACACAGTAACCACACCATGCCAAACACAGGAACACGGCAGCAGCAAGCAGAGGGAGCACAGCAGAGCAAGGGGCATCCTGGAAACAATCCAGGGCTTTGGCTCTCCAGCATGGAGCCATCATAACTTTCGTATCTGGTGGGTATATTCCCTAAGCTCCATTGCTGACTACAGGTCCCCTGACATGGCTACTGATGCTTATGTGTGGTGTGTGTGTGTGTGTGTGTGTCCACTCATGTATGCAAGAGTGCATGAATGTGTAGAGGCCAGAGGTTAATATTAGGTCATTCTCCACCTTCTTTCTTTCTTTTTATTTTTACTATTTGTGTGTGTGTGTGTGTGTGTGTTGTCTTGAGACAGGATCTTTTACTTACTAAATGGGAAGCTGACAAGCTCACCATTTTAGCTATGCCCTCTGGCCAGCAGGTTCTTGGAATCCACTTCTCTATGCTGGGGTTATACACATCTGTAGCTATGGCTGCTCACATGGGTGCTGTGAATTCAGGTGGAGCAGCAAGCACTCTCAACAGCAGACCATCTCCCTAATCCTTCCACCTTATTTTCTTGAGGCAAAGTGTTTTACTTTCATTGAATTTACCAATTTGACTAGACCAGGGGAGCCGTGAAATCCAGGGACCCACTTTCTCTGCATCTCTAGCATTAGGATTACAGGTATACAGATTGTGCCCAACTGTTTTACATGGTTATCGGGGATCACTTTGCCAACTCAGCCATTGGAGTAACTTTTCCAATGCAAATGTTAGCATTAGTTTTGTTTTTAGATTATATTTGTGCTACCATAAGATATTAACAACATTCATTCTAACAATTATTTCAACGCCCCAAGAGGTATTTATTTATATAAAGTGATTATTTAGAGGGTGCAGTATTATCAGTTTCTGTCTGAGAAAGTTTTATTGAAGTGAGTGTGTGGTAGGTTTCTTTTCTCAGACAGTAGTTTACCAGGCCAGTGTTGGCCTGATAGGCTCTTCATCTACATGTTCTGTAAGAGTGAAACATAAGCCCTGCAAAATAGTTTCGTACAAGAGGTCAAGGCACTATTCCAGGAGGCAGGAGAGATGGCTCAGTGGTTAAGAGCACTTGCCGCTCTTCCAGAGAACCTGAGTCCGGCTCCTTGCACCCGTATCAGGGTGCTCACAAATGGTAAGTCCATTTCCTAGGGGTCAGATCAGACGCCCTCTTCCCTTATCTGTGGGTACGTGGTCACACACTTTGGATATGTACAGACAGACACATACATATAAGTTAAAACAACAACAAAAGAGATTTTTTTCCTAGTTACAAAGATTGTGTGTGCCTGGAGGCTCTGTTCTCAGGAGTTGGGAGAATCATGAGTTCTAGGCTAGACTAGGCTACACAATAAGAACCATCTCAGGACTCTGTTTCTAAAGTGAGGTCCAGGGATCCGCTCTTCGTATCACCTAGGCACTGCAGTGTTTGTAGGGACGTTGTGCCAATGCCATGTGTTTCCGGTTGGAGTCTCACCTCAATGTCTGTGCCTCCTTTGTAGATAGCTGTGGTCATGGGCTCCTGCACAGCGGGAGGTGCATATGTGCCTGCCATGGCGGATGAAAACATTATCGTCCAGAAGCAGGGTACTATCTTCTTAGGTGGACCACCCTTGGTAAGAATATTATCTTGGTTGAATGATTATTGATTCATTAGAGTTAAATATAGATACATAGGCTATTATAAGCTTTAAAATATGGTAAGTAAAGCCGGGCGATGGTGGTGCACGCCTTTAATCCCAGCACTCGGGAGGCAGAGGCAGGCGGATCTCTGTGAGTTCGAG